GAAAAAACGTTAAAGTAAATAAAAACTGAATAAGTTACAAAATAAAATAGATAAACAATAGACAAACTGTCTTTTAAAGAGAAACTTCTAACTTCAAATTGTGCAGGACCACTTTGACCTATTGATCATAGGGGGCATATTTTGTTTCTAGTAAGTACAATTAAGCACCTTGCCATCAAGGTGAATAAGGACATTGCATGTTTTGCCTCCACTATTAATGATACAGGGATGGTGGATAGTGGGTTAGCCTGTGTTAGCCCTGTGAAGAGTATCAAATATTTTATTTCAGAAGTTTGTAAGTTTCTATCACAGGCATCAGCTATATCGGGACAAATTTTGGATAGTCTATGATTGGTATGGTAGGTTCTGTGTATGAATTTAATTGAATGTCATGACAGGCACAGATTGAGGAGTTGTGGACTAGTTGTCCAATTGTCCACCAAGATTGAGGCCTAAATCTTATTCCCATAACTCTTTGTTTGCTGTGGAAAAACTGAGGTGATCAGGTGTGTTGACAGTTTATCCTAAGAAGACTGTCCTTCATGCCCTGGGGGGCATTTGAAAAATTTGGGTCATTTTTCTGTACAAAGCTTCTGATTTGCAGAAAAGAAAAAAATGGGATGGTTAGTTGGTGGTTGGATGGTTGGTTTGAATTTGTTTGATAAGTCATTTAAGGACATAAAAACTTTTATTGTACAGGTCACGAATAGCTGTTGTGGCTTTTTTGGACCATAGTTGGAAGACAGAGTCCATAGTGGAAAGCTTAAAACAGTGGTTATGGAATACTTTCTAATACAATGACAAATCTCCCTGTTGACTCAGTGACAATTTTTATTTTTCTGGTTCAAATGGTAAATTACTCCGTTTTAACATGGTGGCCCACCTCCTTGTTCTTGCACTGAACTTTGAGTGGTATAACTGTCTGAAACTACCCCTTTTGAAACTTAGGACCTCATCACTGAGCAGGTGTGTTTACTGTAAAAGAAACTACATCAGCTTTCGAATTCTAAAGATGAGGCATAATCTTAATCAGACAGAGTCCTGATAACACTGTATCACAGAGCAGACAGTATCCCCACAAACCAAAGCGCTAGGGAGAAAGAGAAATCACATTTAAGACAGGCCCTGGAACAATGGTTATCCCAACTAGGCTTTTTTCAAAGCAGACAAAAGACCCAAACAGGACTCCAGCTAGCCACCAGGTGAAAAGGAAGACCCCAAACCTAGACCCAAACCAGTGGTCATTCCAAATAATGTGGGAGTTTCATAGAAGCTGAGACTTTAATTTTCTAAACGTCATCTGATATCAGTGGCTTTCAAACCCTAAAACACATTACGGCAATGACTGGTTCACCTCAAAGATCCGGTCCCCCGGAAAAAACTGAGTAATGTTGTATATGCTGTCAAGTGCCAGGAGGACTGTGACCAGTTATAGATCGGGGAAACAAAGAAGCTACTGCTCAAAAGAATGGCCCAACACCGAACAGCTACATCATCAGGCCAGGATTCTGCCAAGGTCCTGAAAGTGCTGGAATGTTTCAGGACCTTGGACAGTGTGAAGGGCTGAGGGAACTGTCCCAGGTCCTGAAAGTGCTGGAATGTTTCAGGACCTTGGACAGTGTGAAGGGCTGAGGGAACTGTCCCAGGTCCTGAAAGTGCTGGAATGTTTTAGGACCTTGGACAGTGTGAAGGGCTGAAGGAACTGTCCAAGGTCCTGAACGTGCTGGAATGTTTCAGGACCTTGGACAGTGTGAAGGGCTGAAGGAACTGTCCAAGGTCCTGAAAGTGCCGGAATGTTTTAGGACCTTGGACAGTGTGAAGGGCTGAAGGAACTTTCCAAGGTCCTGAAAGTGCCGGAATGTTTCAGGACCTTGGACAGTGTGAAGGGCTGAAGGAACTGTCCAAGGTCCTGAAAGTGCTGGAATGTTTTAGGACCTTGGACAGTGTGAAGGGCTGAAGGAACTGTCCAAGGTCCTGAAAGTGCTGGAATGTTTTAGGCC